AGAAGATCTGATGTTCTGTCTTTCTGTCACGTAGTTACAAGTGCTTACAAGTGCTTTTTGTTTTATTTTGTTTACATGGTCTTTTAATATGGATTTCTGGTTTGGCAGAATGTTAACTGGAAACAATTTCAAACTTCCGTAACTTAGATTTGTTGAGTTTGAGGTTGGTATTTCTTCATAAATACTGATGGCTTTTTCTTTTCTTAAAATAATAGAAGCTTTAAAAAAAAAAAAAGGAATTGTGTAAAGAGCGAAGTGTATTTTGTTTGGCCTCACTAAAATACCACTTGGCTCCAACTCGCCCATATTTCCTGACTGTGACCGTGCCCCAAAGCAGTGAGAGGGTAGAAGTTTTTAAAATGAGATTGAAGTTTGTGTATTTGCATTCCTTTCAGTTTTTAACTGTATTGTTAGTCTTAGTTGGTCCAGCATTGTGAAGCTTGAGTGAATTTCCCTAATGAAACTTAACAGTAGGGAATGTGTGTTGTTCAAAATTTGCTTTGCTAGTGGCTAATCTGAAAAAGACTCATTCTTTGATACAGTTGCTTTTGTTCATGGCGTCTACATTCTCAACATGCTGTTTATCACACAGTATTTATTAATACCTGTTAGATACTGTCATAAATAAAGGCAGGCTATTCCAGAATGGTGACATAAAAAGTGACCCAAATTAAAAAGAAAAAAAAAGTACTAGGTCAACTTCATTACCGGCCTGAACTAGTTAGGGTATCCTGGGGAAAAGTGATCCACTTTCCTCGCATAATTGATTTGTGCGTCAGAAATAGAAATGGCAAGCCTAAAATTTGCACAGTAATTTCCCTATGCTTTCCTCTCCATTTTAAAGTGCAATACATTTTTCCCAACTCAGCTGTGACCTGAGTAGTCCCTTTTATGTCGATAAAGCACCAAGGAAGCCTGTGGAAGGTCACACAATGGGCGGAGCAGAGCCAAAATGCATGCTGAGGAATTGCTTCTTTGTGCCACGTTCTATGAGTGCTCTAGCTATGTGATTTTGATAGAGGTCTGAATCGAGACCTTTCTCCCCAAGGACTTGGCAGACTTAAAAAGTGTGTATAAACAATATACACATTCCATTTGACTCTGAAACTGAACCAACCCCTTGCAGGATACAAATAGCACCTACTTCCCACCCACAGCCATACCTCTGATAGGTTAGCGACGCGAATTGTACAGAGTGTGGACAGTTGGCTGTCTGGCATTGGTAGCAGCCTTTTCAGGGTTGAAACAGTGGTGAGGCCCAGCACTGTGAGTGGCTATGATTGTCAGCCTAATTCAATAAATACTTAAGTGCTTTTCTAAAATCAAGTACTATGTTAATGTATGGGAGAGGGAAGAACATGAAAAGATAGGAAGTAGAAAGCACAATGAGAAAAAAAGTCCAGCTATATGAAAAGGAGGGAGAGGGGAAAGAGATACTGCTCATTGGGCTTTGGAGTCAGACAGAAAGATGAAAGAAGAAAGAATACCAGCTTTATAGGTTCCCAACTATACATGTCACTTAAGTCACGATTAAAGGTGAACAATATTCGTATTAAAGGTGAATAATAATGAGATATCATCATTGATCAAATAATAAAAATCCTTGTTTATAATATTGATTGCTGACTTCTGTGTTCTTCTGTGCTTTTAATTTAGAAAGACCATGCTTCCTTTGCAATTCTGAGATGTCAGCGTATCAGTTAGAATTTGGTTTGGCTGCATTGTAACAGGGACCCATGTAAAGTTTAATATACAATATTTTATTCTCTCACATAAAGAAGTTCAGAGATAGGAAGTCCAGGGCTTTTAAGGTGGTTCCTCAAGTTGTGAAGCCCTGGTTCCTTCCAGCTCTTTGCTCAGCTATTCTTCATCTTCATGGTTCAACATGGCTGCTAGAGCTCCAGCAATTACGTCCTTCTCTCAGGAGCAGAATGGATGAAGAACAGAAGTAGGGCTTGACCTGGTTAAAATCTCCTTGTATAAGGGGGTTTTCCAGAACCATGTGACACTCTCTTTACATCTCATTGGCCAGAACTTAGTTTGGGTCACACATACCTACAAGCAGCCTGAGTTGTTTCACAGGAGCCTTGTGACTGTAGCAAGAAACACTGTGATCCTTAGAAAAATGTCTTAGAAGTTAAAACTGTTAGAATTAGTAATAATAATAGTAACTCACATTTAAGGGTCACAGGCACTCTGTTCAAAATGTATATGAACCATCTTATTTAATCTTCCTTTGAGGTAGGTGTTATTATCCCCATTTAACAGAAAAGAAAATGTGGTTTAAAAGAGTTAAGTAGTTTGCCCAAGGTTGTGTCTCTAGTAAGTGGTGGAACTAGAGCTCAGAACTAGCCTTTTTCTAGATCCCAAGCATTTATCCACTACTTTGCTTCCCACTCTCAGGTTTTAGCTTGGTAGTTTATTCACATCTACAATGGGAAGTTTTCAAACCTATCCTATTTGTGGCTTTATAGTCTTTAGTTCTTTACCCTATTCTCTCTGTCTGTCTCTCTCTCTCTCTCACACACACACCCTCATTTATTTTTTTCACATCTTTAAGTGTTTCTATGCTTATGTAAAAGAGCATGACTTTTAATACTTGATTAGTTCAATGTGAGTTATCTTTCTGTATTTTGGTCAGGCATCTGCATATTAGGGTTTTTGGCAATTTATTATTTACTGAGCACCCTCTCTCTCCCAGATGCAGCCCTAAAAGCTATTGGGGATAATAGGATCAGTAGGAAAGAGTCCCTGCCCTCAAGGCATTTACAGTGTAATTCTTTAGAGAATGGATTTTAGACAACCCTCTTAGCATCGAATTATACTATGACACTACATGTAAATCACAACTGACCTAGATGTGCACACCCATTTGTCCTCATAATTACAAGTGCATCCTGGTTACCTCTAAATGGCCACCTGTCCCTTCAAAACATTGCCAAGAAACTAGGTAAACAGGCAATTCTATTTTAGTCCTCTTTGTATTTTTCCCTTAAACAACATGGTTTATATTATTGTTTTAGTAATAAAAACAATCTTAATTTACATAAAATAGATATGGGTTTGATTATAACCTATTATTTTGAAGTGTTCATTTGTAAAAATAATTGAATTCCTATTTTATGACATTTTGAATAGTGGCAGAAATAATATACGAGTGTATTAGAAACCCAAATCAAATGGGGACCAGTCGTGACATTTGGACCAGAGCCTGCCAATTCAAGCCTGTGTAAGGTTTATCGTTGGTGTATTTTTTTTTTTACAAGATCAGAGAAGAAAGATGTTCCACCTGACAGGTTAGGATAAGAAGAGCACTACCAAGGGACGTGAGGCTGGTGACATCATCTCCTACAAGACTTCTATTTAATCCAGTCTTTGTTTCTTGGAAATGGAATATTGAAAGAAGGAATTGGCAAGGATTCACATTTGTCCATTTCTCTGCTTTGTTATCTAGCGCATCTACTGTTCAAAGTTATTTCTTCACAAAGAAGTCACTTATTTTCCTGTTTGGGAACTACCTACAAATTATTTTGCCACATTTGCTGATTATGTATATGCATAAGCATTTTGTTTCATAATGGGAAGGGGATTTTTTTTTTTATAAGCAGAAATACACCATCTGCCCCTGGGATTTGCCTAGATGTATTCATTCCTGTTCTTTAAGGTATTTTGTTAACTGCACTCCATCAGTTTGAGAAGTCAGTCTTTTTCACTTAGGCTATTTGGCATGTATCATGTGCCCTGACACTTGATATATAGGTAATGAGTCTCCTGGCTCTCCTAATACTCTCTTTTTTCTTTGGTGACCTAATTTACTTCATCTGATCATGGAAAACTTGTATTTTCTAATTGCCCTTGAGATCATGGCTTCATTATTACCTTGAGTGAATTTTACTTTGAAAACTTATACCATTTGGCTCCTAAAGGTAATGGTAAATAACACTTCTGTAGAGCTTAGAATTAAACAAACAAAAAGAATTTGTAAAAAGGCTTCTCTATATCACATGCAATCCTGACTGCAACACTGAGGGAGGTGGTTGGTGCTCATTCATGATTTCTTGTCACCAGGGACTTTGCAGTAAACATGGTAGACATGGTTTCCTCCCTCCTCTCAAATTATGGGGGAGAAATGTTTATTATGAATGAGGAGACAAGTTTATATAAGAAAGGTATAGCGCAGAGAACTTAAGTGGTTTGCTCAGAGTCATTGTATCTGATAGAATTTTTGTGGCTGTGTGATCGATGACTAAACTGGAAAGGCAAGTAGGAAGGAAATTTTCAAGTCTTGGAAAACTGACCAAAGAGTGGAATGTGGAATGTTTTTTCTGTAAATAATGGGTAACCAGTAAAGTCTTTGGATTAGTACGGTGATATAATCAAAGCATTTAGAAAGCATATTTTGATAGTGAAGTGACAGCTAAATGAATAAGGTTGAAGAGATGTGGAACAACTGAGAAACTATTAATACTAATTTATATTAATATAATAATATGTGCAAAACCCATGAAATAATGGCATGGTACTCAGGCTGAGACGGGATGTATAGAGGAGACGCTACAGTGGGGAATGGGGAGGACCTGGAAGCTGACTGGACAGGAGAAAGAAAAGAGAAGTCAACGATATTTGAAGTTTCAGGTCAGAAGAACTGTGTAATAACTATGGATAGCAGTAAGCGCTTAAAGAGCATCAGTTAAGAGAAGCCCAAACATCCATTCACATGACTTCTAAGATCATATCTTTGATGAGTATCTCTTAGAGTATTTCCTAAAACCAGGAATACTGTTCCTTCCTGCTTTCTTCATTCTGGATCCAGTTTAAGCATGGCTTTCTCAGTTTGGTCTGTCCAGAAGAGGCAAGGAGATGTTTTCCCAAAGATTTAAAATTAGGAGAAAATGGAGGTCGATCAATACTCAAAAGTGGGTCTTTTCCTGATTGTGTGAAATGATAATGAAGACAAGTATGTGGCATGTACTGACTTGATCAAGTGGATTCTTTCTTAGGCATTTTTTGTCGACCACAACTCCCGTACCACCACTTTCATTGATCCCCGGCTCCCACTTCAGAGCAGTCGACCCACAAGCGCACTGGTCCATCGGCAGCACCTGACGAGGCAGCGCAGCCACAGCGCAGGCGAGGTGAGTCACGTGCCTTGGGAACTGACCCAGGGCTGGTAGAGACTGCGGGGATGGGGGGGATGNCGGGGGTCTGGGTCTTCATTACTCTTTTGTTTTGTTGTTCTTAGTTTGACTTAGAGATTATCATTTGGAGGCTGAAAAGTGTTGGAACGTTGACAGGGTTTCTTTGGAAATACATAGAGCCTAAATGACAAATTTTAAAAAGCAGGATATATGAAGGAAGATTTAAAAAGCAGGATATATGAAGGAAGATTGAAGATATTAGAGATTTTCTTAAATTCTTAAGATGGTGAGAGAATCCATATTATAATAAAATGTTCAAGAGAGGACAATGAGCCCTTTTGCACACCTAAGGGCAGCTTCATGGAAGAAATGAATGTAACTTTTAGTGGGCTAAAATTTGGTAAGCTATAGGGAGGTTTATTAAATGAGGGTTGTAGATTAGATTAAAATCATTGGACAAGTCATGGGATTGTGACATTCCCACTAATATTCTTTAAAATTAGGATATATCTGAGAGTTTATTTACTCTTAACTGCCCAGAGAAAATGGGTGGGAATTAAGGATTACCAAAAGTTCTACTGTGTTCTACTTTGTTAGTTTGCAGTACCAGTGGTAACCACATGAGGGCTCTCTAATAGCCTAACCAAAAACAAACAACAAAAAAAACTAAAGGGAAAAAAAAAGAATATCTTCCTGCTTCCCTATTTTTAGCAGCTTAAATAAAGCAAAGGAATGTTTTAGATCAAAATGTTTTATCCTAAATATGAACTTATGCTTCGAATAGATTCATCACTTAATATACATTGGTTCTAAAAATTCCCTTAGACATATTTAATTAAGATTCTTTCCTGCATGCCTTTTCCACAACTATGTGCATATCATATTTTCAGTATTATATTGTAGGTCAAATATTTTTGTAGCTTCTATTATAAGAAAAAAAATATGAATGCAATAAATAACTGGATTTGATTCATCAAAATTCCACTCTTGGAATTTCCCCTCATGGTTTACATACTGCTCTAATGCATCATGTGTGTTTGCTGGTTGTAGATGCAAACATAGACGAGTATACATGAGAAGCTCATATAAAAATGATATATAAATCTATTGCAGGATGAGGTATGTACAAAAATATTTATGTTTTATGAGTAGCTAATAAATCTTTACCTTGCTGTCATATAAACCATTAGTGGTGAACTGGCTGATGCTAACAGCATTCATGTTTAAAGCAGAACAGACCTCTCATCTTTGGACCTTGTGCGTGATGTGTAGCATAATTAGGGCCCTGCCTGACTTGATCACGTGGCCAGTATACTTTACCCATTTGCTTTATCTCATCATCACGATAGGAAACTGACTGTTCAGTCTGGTCAGAACTGCGTATGGCAGATTAGTAACTATCCTTACGTTTTCTTTTAACCCCTCTGCCTCAGAACTTCAGTTATTTTCATGGTCTCATAGTAGCCTGTTGTGGGAGAGGGATCCTAAGGTACATGTTAAAATGTGAATGAAGATCTCTCTTTATATTGATGGAAACCGAGCAGCGGAACAGAGATACCCCATAACATCTCAGCATTTGGCCCCCAGCATTGGTAAACATTTGAGGGGCATATACTTCCTGACCCAGCTGTTGGAAACATGCATATCCTGCCATGATATGCACATGTGTCAGGGCTCACCCACTGTCTGGCAGCCTGGTTTGAAGAAGTGGGGTGCCAAGGAGAGGACCTTTGGCTGTTCAGGGAAATGTTGACACATAGCAGCATACTGACAGCAGGGAAAGTATATGTTGGTGTACTGACATGATCAGTTCTGTGAGTGACAAACAAGGTGTAGTTTATGATTGAATCTCCTCCCAGAGTGGATGACTTCATTCCACAAAGCCAATCACTCAAGAGAAGCAGAGAGAGAAGCTTTTAGTTGCTTACACAAGTTTTTCTTATACTCATTTAGCAAACATTCCAGGTAGTAGAAATGTTTGGTATCTCTTCCATCCAACAAATTAATACCAAGTACCGATAGTGTAGAAATAGTGATGGTTGGTGTGAGTGACATAAATAAACAACATATGTTCCTGTGTTCTTATTAAGGAGAGAAAATATGAGACTAACCATAATACAAATAAATGAAAATATGAGTGAAAAAAATGCTTTAAAACTGTCAGTAATGGCAGCTGCTTTGTAAATGTACGCCAAATACTGTGGGAGCCCAGAGCAGGTCACATTTAATGTCAGCTTGAAGGGAAGGGAAAGCTTCATCGAGGAGCGCCTGTTTGAATTACGCTTTGAAGGAGTGAGAACATTCTTGAAGCCTAAGCAGGCAGAGTAGGGTGGGGATGATCTTTCCAATTTTAGAGCTTTTAGAAAACCCCCCATCAAACGCCAAACTGATGCAATATGATAAAACGGTAAAGGTTTAAATGGATGGGAGAAGAAGCTCTATTTTTAAAATTCCAGCTTAGAAATCCAGTATGTTATTTTATTTTGCCTTTTGTTCTCTTACTCTCATATACTACTGTTCTAATGTCTTAAAAGATTTCTGTAATATGGGGGGAAGTGCTAAAACAGAAGCTAAAGCAAAGTTAGAGTTTTCTGGTAAGAATATGAATGGGTATTTTTGTTTATCTATTTGTATGGATGAGTTTCTAAGTCTATAATAGTTACAATAAATAATTCAGGTCAGGGCAACCCTATTTAGCTCTTCCACACCTGCTATGATTAGCTCTCTGGTGTGGGAGTTTCAAACCAGAAAGAGCTGTTATACTGGGTGCTCTAATGAGCATGTAAATTGTTTCTAAGGAGATAATACACCAACTCAGAAGCTCACACGAAGATGGCTGCTCTTTGTCCTGTCCTCTGCTGAGACAGGGACTTTCTTGACCGGCCATTGCCAAAAGCAGGTCTGTTCTGGCACTGCCCCCATATGTTTTGGGCCACTCAGGTCTTTTCTCCGCTTGTATTGTTGCAGGTTTGTGTTCTGTCAAGGCCCAAAGTTATTCCTGATGAACGGGTCTGCTATTTAGCACTTAAAGCCCAATAATTTAAACATCTATGGAACTATTCCTTTACCACTTGGTAAATAGTCAGTGCCCTGGCCCTTCTCAAAGACCTGGGTGCCTCAGCCCTTCCACTCAGTTCAGCCACTAAAGCAGAGCTTTTGAGAAAGCTGGCATCTGTTCTGCTCAGCTGGTACTTACCAATGCTCATTGTCAAGTATTTGGAACAATTCAGCGTGAGTTGCTGATACAAAGTACTCAAGTCTTGGGGCAGAACCTAAACGATGCTTGTGTTTGCAGGTCGGAGAAGATTCTCGACACGCAGGACCACCAGTTCTCCCCAGGCCGTCGAGTACGTTCAATACAGTCAGTAGGCCACAGTACCAGGACATGGTTCCAGTGGGTATGTCATCCCTTCCCAGAAACCTTCATCTTTGCTTTTTATGTCAGCTTGGACCGTGCGTTCTGCGGTGATGCTTCCCTGTTGTCAGCCTGCTACTTTTGCCGTGTACTGAGAAGTTCTTCCATCATCCCTAAGAAATTGATTTGAATCTCAAAGCACCTATGTCTTATAAAATCCTATAGGATAAGATTTGTTTTTCTACCACTCTCCCTTTTCTGAGTAGAGCCATTGCAGTAGATTGTTGAAGTTAAATAAGTTGTTAAGGCAACTGTGTTATGTGCTCATTTCAAATTAGGCATTTACACAAGCATACACTTAGTATATATTGATGCTTGGGACATTTCAATGATGTGTGACACTGTAGTAGCCTCACAAAATAAGAAAGCAATGATGGCACATTCTTAAGGGTTTTTGTAGCAAATATCGGAGCAAAATTATAAAATAAAGATAAAGGATTGTGGGAAAATAGGCCTAAAGAACAACTTGAGATGTTAAAATGATGAGGCTGAAGTAGATCAGTTTTCAAACCCCAAGTTCCTAAAAACAGGTGGAATGGACAGACTGGTGGGGGGGGGGGCCACATGGGGTCTCCATTGAAAAGCTCTCCATTTGTCTGTTTTTACTTTAAAATTTTTACTGTTTTAAGAAACACTTTATCATGAAATGAAATGTAATGCCCATGGCCTAAAGAAGTTTGATCAACACTGGATAAGAAAAAATCTTGGGTCAAAGTACTTGTAAGCAGTCTATTTTTTATTCTGCCATTACTAAGAGGATACTAAATACTGTATATAAAACTTTAAAGCACTGTAAAGTTGTTCAAAAGGTTATCTAGTCTGTGATCGTGGATGGAATGTAAAAACTCATTGACAAAATTTCAGTTATAAAGGTGGTTTTATTATTGACATATGCTGAAATGTGCAGTTACGGAAACTTTAAGTCTGACGATTGGATTCCATGTTAGCAAATAGTATTTTTTTTTAAGTTTGTTCATATTTAACTAAAATGTATATGCATAGGCAGCATGACGCATTCAAATTTGAATCGGCGAATGCCTGGAGAATTATATTTCTTTTGTTTGATCATTTGTTGCTTTAGGTAAGGCATGTTTCTTGATCATATTTATGAACACCAGAGTGACGACTAAACTAGGATTTCTGATGTTTGAGAATTCAGACATTCAGCTCTGTGATTTAAGTATATCTATATTTCTGATTATATATAAATCAATATAATCAAGATGAATCATCTTAAATAAACAAATTAGTTTTCTTGATAAAAACAGGTATTAAAAGAGCCCTTAATAAATTTTAATTAAATATTTAAAATTGCTGTGGACATTAGCTTGACTAAGATATAAATTTTTCTTTTAACGTATTATGTATATAGTTGATGATGCTAATTGTGTTGTTGCTATTGGTATAGTTGGTTTGGTAAAGAGCTATGTGTGGCTCAATGGCATTTATTTCCACATAGAATTTAGGAATGGTTTGTCCTTTGCATTTTGATAGTAGCTGTTGCTGGCAACTGCAGCGTTTGGGTGACTCTTGTTCTGCCTCTTTATCTCTTTGCATGGCTGATATTTAATCAGAAGATCGTTTTCCATTTCTAACAGTTGATTTTGGTAAGCAGTAGCTTAAAACATTCAATATCTAGAATCTTATTGGTGAGTTCGTCTTGCAATTTGATGACAGATATGGCTCATCAAATGAGTTTAATGAGTGTTTAGGTAAGTCACACCTAATAACTCTAAGTCTAATACTCATATAACATGGTAGTGGTTCTTTAAGCATTTGTAGTGGTTCCAAACTTTGACTTTGAATACTAAGAATATTAATCAGAAAAATGGGTTTTTACAAGTTTGAATTTATATGCACAAAACTAATAACAGATTTTTAAAACATTGTTATATTTTCTGATTTTTCAGCTTACAATGACAAGATCGTTGCATTTCTGCGCCAACCCAATATCTTTGAAATTCTACAGGAACGTCAACCTGATCTTACCAGGAATCACTCACTCAGGTAACCGGAATATTGGTGTTTGGTTCAAGTGGTGTTAGCCCCAACTATTGAATCTTCAGTAACAATGATAATCTTCTTGGAAATTCACTCTTTCTTTCTGGCATCCTGAACAAAGATATCTTGTGCACAAATACTTTATGACATCCACACCAGGTCATTGTAGTCCTGGCTTTTTTCTATTAAGTACAAAGGTTGAATAAACTTGACTGAAGAACCTAGAACCCTCTTCAAGGAGTATGAAAAAGAAACAAAACTTCACAGCCATGAACACACCCTAGATGTGCAAATTCTAATGAAAATAATAAGATACTAATCTTTTTGAGTATAGCTTGAGTAAACAAAAGTAACATAGAGTTTATTGAACCAAGATTTATAAAATCCTAGACTTGGTATTCACATTTTTCCATAATAAAAACACAGTGGAACCAAGGAGTAATATCTGATACTCTCCAGAGCCCAGCATTACCCTGCATGAACCCTCTCTTCTAAACAACTCTTCAATGCATCATGCTTCAAGCCCCGTTTTACTTTCCTGAATACATGCTGTTCCTTTTCCCTGGCATATTTTTTTCCTTCTTCTTCATTGGGCAAGAAAGATCATTCCTTTAAAACGCAATGCAAGTGGCCCCTCCATGAAGTCATTCAGCTCCATTGTGGACTCTTGCTCTCATAATGTAGGCTAGTATTTTTCTACCTCAGTGTCTCAGTGGAGATGGAAAAACCATGAGTTAAGGCTGAAAATCTCTTAATTCAAAGCCCATTTGGTTTACATGCCACTTTTACTGGTAGAAATATGCCCAATGGTGACATCCTGATCCACAGCAGTGCTTCTCAAATACTACTCAACCTAATTGTTCCAAATTGTTTTCATCAGGATTATCTGGGGAGTTTTATAAAGTACAAAATGCCAGGTCTCATCTCCCACAGCTCCCCTCCCTTCTCTGAATTTATATCCCCTATTCTCCCATGCTCTGCCCAGAAATTTAAATCAGGCATAGGGGAGAGCTCAAGCGTTTAATTTTTAAAAAACCTCTCCATATAATTTCAATTGCACAGCTAGGTGTAATAAGTTCTTGTCTAGACACTAATTTCATAATTAATTATGTAATATATCAAGTTGCCTTTCGTACTTTGGTTATAAGACTTTTGTGTTTTAATTAGACTTTTCAGGTCTTTATGCTTTATTTCCAATTAGATTATAAGCTCTTTACAAATAAGGATGTTAGTCAACTCTTCATTGTTTCTCCTTACTGCTCAACTATTTAGAATAACATTTTGCAGATAGTGAATATGTGTGTGTGTGTGTGTGTGTTTGTGTATTTGTTGATTTGAAAATAAATTACCAAATATCCTTTTTATGATGTTCTCAGTCCCTCATATCTGTTTTTATTGAGGTATAATTGAAATATGACATTATCTCAGTTTCAAGTGTACAACATAATGATTCAATATTTGTATATACTGCCAAATGATCACCACAGTAAACCTAGTTAACATCTATCACCATACACAGTTACAGAATTTTTTTTGTGGTTAGAACTTTTAAGATATACTCTCAGCAAATTTCAAATATGCAACACAGTATTATTAACTGTAGTCACCATGTTGTACATTACATCCCCATGACTTATTTATTTTATAACTGGAAATTTGTACCTTTTGACCCCCTTCACCCATTTCACCACCCCCACCTCCATCAGTCTCTCATATCTTTAAAGTTGTTATTACCTTCTAAAGTTTCTGAAAGCTAATGCTACATATAATTTCAAGTATGACATTACAAATGTTGTTTATACAGAAAATCCCAGTTTCACATTAGTTAACATCTAACTCAGTGCTTTCCCCAACTTGACAAGAATGCTGTTCTAAATCACAAAAATTATAAAAATTATACAATATCGTTTTGTATATTATGGCATCCACTCAGGAATTTGTGGTCCTTTGGAGAATATTGTGTAAGAATATTTAGTTAATAAAAACTACAAAAATGAGCTCCTCAGTTGTCTAATGAGAGATCTTAGAGATTCTGAGCCACAAAGCAAAATGAACATACAAAAGCCCTCCTTTTTTGCTAATTACAAAATAAGGAAAACTCTATTTTCTACCAACTCCAGCCACAACACACACACACACACACACACACACACACACACACACACCCCACACACACACACACATCTTGATAGTACCCCATCCCCCACAAAAAAGAACAAGNACAAAATAAGGAAAACTCTATTTTCTACCAACTCACACACACACACACACACACACACACACACACACACACACACACACACACACCCCTAGTCAATATCTGTCTTGATAGTACCCCATCCCCCACAAAAAAGAACAAGAAAGCGGAAACTCAAGAAGTGTTTCACTTTTGCTCTGCACATTATTATTTACACCAATTTAACATGTCTTCAAATCTCCACTATCAGAGAAATCAGATGACTTAATCTACCTGAACAGGGCATCTGACATTATCATTATTTTTTAATGACTTGACAGACCTTAATAGATCCTAACAGAGGGAAAAGCTGCAGACCTCATTGGTTGCTTCCAGTTTTGTTTTTCTTTCTGCTTTTTAGTCTCTTTAAAGTCTCAAATCTCCTAAATTGCTGAAGATGTTTATTTTTTAATGATTCCCGCGGTCCTCAGTTAAGCACAAACTTTCTTCTAAGGTAGATCTCACATGGTAATCAATTGCTAGGAAATCATTTGATAGGCTTTGAAATAAGTTTCCATCTTATTCCAAAACTAATTTATAAGTTTTCATTTCCACTTTCTAAGACTGTTTACAGAATTTGACCATAAAAAGCATATGCAGTCATGACAAGTAGAAGGAAGCAGGAACTTAAATCAATGAGATAGTGCTATTCCTCTTACACAGAATATGTATCACAGTGCACTTTTCTTTTCTGAAAAGTTTTTGGTAGTTAAGCGTTTTCCTTAACATAACAACATAATGGGGAAGTTTGTGTATGTAAGAGAACATTCTGTTTCACATAGTTAAAAGCTGCCTTGTAAGAAGCATTCCCACAAATGCAGGGGTGGGGAACCAGCTGGGGTTCTTTAATCTCATGTGTCAGTGATATTTTTGATAAGAAATATCACTGCATGGCATAGACTGCTTGTGTGTCAAAGGGAACTATGAACCTTATATTCACATCTTGAGCAAGAGTTCTCAATAGCCGAGTAGCTCTGTATGCATTCTTCCTCATCCATGGAGCACAGCCACTTAAAAGAAACATCCCTTCTTATGTTCTCCGCAATATCAGGAGGAAAAAGTGTTAGCCCTCGGGAAATTCAAATAGGTGTGCCTCTTAACTTTATGTTTTTTCCTGCTTTGCTTGTGATTCCTCCTAAACCAGACAATAGGAAGCACTTTATTTAGTTTGTGTCCATATAGTGCTCCCCTTCCTGACACTCCACTGGTGTATCTTTTCCTGTAGAATGACTGTGGTTTCCATGCAATGGGACATGGCTTTTGCTTTCAACTGCTGTATTTAAATCACTGCTCCCTCTAACCTGATCTGTTATGCAAAGGTGAATTCTCAGAAGTTGCCCTCCTTTTTTTTAATCTCAGAAGAGGTTTATTTCCTCAGAAAAGTCAACATCCTAACATCAGTACCATCACCATCAAAGGGGTAGTGTCCCCAGTGGATTCCTATGTACTTACTATTGGTTCTCATTGAAACATAGTAATCTCTAAGAAGCTTTTTGTATGCTATGACATTAACACAAAAGATGAAATAGAATATTCTTATACTTTATTAGAAGACAAATATATTCTTTAAAAAACAACTTTTTAACAGTATTTTGTAAGTGAATGTAATGAATACAAATTCAATAAAAGTTTTGGTATTGGTATTAGTACAGCATTGTGTTATGAACAAGGATCTAAATGTCATAAAACTGAATTAACAGTTAAGAATTTCTCCTCTTGTGTGATTATTATTAGGTCCAGCCGGTAAATCTATTCCCTACTAGTCCAGCTTTCCCCAGGCATCAGTAATAATTATTTTGGGCTCCAGGTTGAGTCCTCCTTAAGTGCTTCTTAAATAAGTTCCCTTGCCATGAGGATGTAACCTGTGATAATTTTTTTCATTCTGGTAAAAATTAGGCCATTCCTTTTTTTTTTTTTGTCATTAGTAAATTAGTAACTTGGAAGTCAAATTCTGAGCCACGAAAGACAAATGGATACAAGTCTCAGCTTTCACCAGAATAGAAGTAAATACACACTATAACCTTCTATTTCTTCCCATCATCCTATTTTAAAAGCCTGGAATTTTGTTATTGCTCAACTTTACTTTTTTTTTTCATTTTAAAAATAGCACATGCCATTGTGAAACTCCCAAACAATACAAAGTTTTTGAAATAAAAAATTAAAGTTTCCAAAAGCTAGCTTTCAGAAAACAAACCCCAGGGCTCAAAATGTCTAACCTATTCCTTGTTGTTTTCTAGCAAATGAATTTTTCTACATTTAATATTGTGCTGGAAATATTAATCTCAGCTAACACCTGGCTACTTGGTCAAAATAGCATAAATGTACTTCTGCTGAGCCTTCTGAGGTTTCCTGTTAAGACCTGCCTAGCTCTCTCTCATCGTCTTCTAATTGTTGACTGCTCACTTCGATGCCTGGAACCAACATGACACACTTTTGACCTTAGTTGTACCAAATTGAGATAATAGGAAATTTGGATTGGAACTATCATTTTCCTTTGGACCACACAGGCATAATTATTGAATGTTTAAAACTACCTGATTAAAATAATTTATTGACAACACGTAGTAATAGTCACTGGAGAATCTTGGTCTGTCTCTCACTGGGAGACCAGCATTAATAATGACTCTTAGGAAGCAGTAGAATATACATCTTAAGAGTTCAGGGTTGTGGTCAGACAGACCTAATTTGAATTCTGACTCTGCAATTTACTTGTCAGGTGGCTTTGAATGAAGTATTTAGCCCCTCCAAGTCATAATTTCTTCATCTGTAA